TAAATATGTAAATATATGTATATAAAATGAACTAGCGGTACGAACTTTTGTTTTTTCGAACCCAATATACTCGTCATCAATCATTAAACTAAGGATAATAAGATAAACAGATAAGATAGAAAATTCCTAATTAAAGGCTAATAAGATACACTCAAAGCTCAAAGTAATTAATTCGCTTGACTTATCGATTTTCCATTTATTGTAAAATAAAGACGCAATAATTTTCGTTATTAGCTTAAATTTCGCTTAAATGCAATTCTCAAAACCAAATTACATTTGCTCATTGGGGACCTGCGAATTATATATTTGTACATTCCTTCATTATGCTGTATATCATTCGGATGCGACTCGTGTCGGACACATCCACAAGGTGTTAATCGTTTCTTGCTCGGCTCAATTAACTGGGATCGATAAGTTTGGCAGAAGATAATCTCCTTCTCCCCCGCTCGCCCTTCTACCGATATTGCCTTATTTTATCGACCGTATAAATTTAAAAATAAAGAAAGAACTGTATGTTCTTCCCGTCACAAGTATCTTGTAATGAAGAGTTTATCAAAGATCTTGCGGTCGAGCTTTGTCGTGCTCGGAAATCGAATTTCTCGTTCGATACGTAGGGGCCACCTCCATGGCGGCGCCCATGACGTCGTCGGTATACGACAGAACGGACGCGTCGGTTGGTGGAAGAACGGCAAGCGAGGGGCACGTCGCCGTGTTCTCCGACAATATGCCGGCTGGCTGGAAATCGTGAAACGATCCAACACCGGCGGCCCCGGCGGGCTGATTGGACCGTATTTGGTTGTAATTAAGGCACCGGCGGTAGCCATTAGCGAACCGCGAAAACGAACAACATTGTTCGGTGCGCACCGCACGTAAATCAACGCATATCCTGTCCTCTCCTCTTTCAGAAGCATCGCAGTTGGTTCCCCCTTAACATATCACGCGAAGACAAAACGTAGTTTATAAACGACATTGAAAGAATATATTATTTCTCACGCACATTTTCTACATTATTTCTCTACATCTTCCACATTTTACTTTCTTTGTGAAAATTAATCAGGATTAAGTTAATTAATCAGGAAATCGTCTTTCTCATTGTTATCTTTCATTTGTTAAGGCCGGTGGATCACGGAAGTAAACACACACAACAACTTAAGAATGGAATACAATATATATTTCACTATTTTACAGAAAAGTAACGTCTCACATAAACGAACTTCTGAGAGACCTGTTATCGTGTGTACGACTTTATGTACGAGAGCTGGAGAGATCTATTATAATGGCATACGTATCTCAAGTATTCGTGAAATTATCTTACAATTAGATAACGTTAACTGATATAGGCTGCAACTTTAGAATATGCGCACCTCGCGCAGTCTGTTGGAACGTTCGTCTCAACATTATTTGTACAAATTATTAAAATTTTTGATTGTTTGATATAGATATGTGTATGACTATATGAATAACAATTCAATATTTACTTTAAATCTATAAAATAAAATAATTTTAACATATTTCTATATCGAAACGAATACGATAACAATGATTCTTAAATCGCGCATATATGATTGACAGTACAAATGAGAAATAAAATAATATCTTTGTTCAACATTAAAATGTTTAATCATTTGTTTGCATGTGCTTATTCCTATGGAATCAACCAGACACGAATAGCTGACAAAAATTTATTACGCAAAGTCTTTGGAGAATGGTGTTACGCAAAACTCTTCTGCCATATCGAAGACGAATATGGCAACAATACCTCTCGACTCGCATAATTGGCGCTATGGGCACCCAATGGGGCCCCTTCGCGACGGTGCCGGGAGGGCCGCCAGCACGGGATGAAGAGATTTACAATGTTCTCAGTCGTAAAATAATCAATAAAATCTGTGCAATGTAAAGAAACGGACGTGCGGCAGTGATTTAGTATGCGGAGCGCCGGGTCCAGTCCTCTCCCTCTCACCATCCTGTCCAGGGTGGTTTTCTAAGGTCCGTCCTTAAGGTCTGGCTATACGAAGTGCGGATCTTGAGGCACCTGAAGAAAAAACAAAGTTCAACCAAATTCGAATTAAAATTTAGAGATTGGACGAGTTTTTGCCATGCAATTAGTTATATTGCCAACAATATAGTTGTTTACTTTATTAGTAATCACATAAAACATTAAAGAATTCAATTTATTGAAGAATCTAACAATATATGTAGATGCAAAAGTTGAACCCACTGGACATTAGCATAGTCATACTTTTATATAAAATAAACAAAAGCTTTTTTTTAGTTAATATTTCAAGTAGATTTTGTTACAATTTTAGTTTTAAACTCAATTGCTTCATGGGTAATGAAATATTTATGGTTTAAATGTTTCGTGTTAATAAATTTTCCTTAAAGCGATTAACATTATAAAAATAAAATAAAACTATACTCTCTCTTTAATATATTGCTATTCTTTGAACGCTGCTCGAATTTAGTTTCTAAAGACATATGATCAATTGCGTTTACTGAAAAAGGAAATATACATGTAGGCCATATGTCGTTGGAGTGGAAACCAATTAGAAAGGGGCTGAGCAGGAGTCGATGGTCGTTTTGAAAAAATGCGTTGTGTCTCGTAATCGTGCGCTAATTCATCAGCGCGCCCCATTTGCGAACGTAAGTCACCCAAATGATCCTATAGCATCACCATGCAGATAATAGGCGTGGCGCCGGCTATTCTGAGCGGTGCGTATCTCGGTTTTACGAGGCGTTAAAGGCACCATGACTGATGATGGAGCCAACTAACAAGTTCTCACAGGTAAAACAAAGACGTTCAACAAATTTTAATCTTCGCTCATTTATTCATTACGAGTGATATTATATTAGATGCTTTTATCAATGATATTCATAATAGTTCACTTTTACCTGAATCTAGACACAATTTTCTCAATAATATAAGGATTATATATACTTATTAATTTGTTGAACACACATTACTGGATTTATGTTAAAATGTTTTTAAAGAAAAAATTAAAATTCTTTTTTATTTTAATTATTTTGTTTATATGTTACTATTATCTAGTATATAATTGCTAAATAGATGAAAGAGAAATTATTAATACAACAAATTCTTTTATTTTGTAACAATAAGTATTAACTCTCCGGTAGAATCACATTGTTTTTGTTTTTATCATCCTCTTTAGTATTATATATTATTATTTTAATATTGTTTTCTTTTAGACTATTTAATATTTACTTTTGAACTTACATAGATACCTACATAATACTATTTAAACGATTGTTATTACAATTGTTTCTTTATCAATCTAACAATTATCTTTCCAATTTTTTTGTCATCAATAGACTTTTAATCTCTATGTATCTCTTTCTCTCTCTCTCTCTCTCTCTCGTTATCTAAATTTTACTATATTGTTTACTATAAATTTTGACTTACTTGATCGTCAATTAATCGAATCGAGGATAGCTTAGATGTGGGTAGTGCCTTAAATTTTCTGTGGGAAATATAGCGTGATTCGCCCCGGGGTTTTGTGGCGGGAGCCACAAGTATGGTGACGAATTTACGAGCTTCTTACAAGCAGAGGTCTGCCCTCTTCGTGAGCATGTAGCGGGCAATAAAGTATGAGGCCAGAGGATATTCGAAACAATCGAGCTGAGGCAGGATCTATATCGACTCGAGAAGGTCCGGATCAAATTTAGGATTGATTTACGAGTGATTGCACACTGGCAACCACTCGAATGATCAATCGCTCACTCTATTTACGATGCATCAATAATCTCTCGCAGATGTAATCAAGAATTATTAAGATAAAATAATCACAGAATACATGTTCTATGTAATCGACTTATAGCTTTGGACAAAAGTTATTAACATTATATTAAAATAACGAAAAATTTGGAGACAGAAATATTTTTTGATCATTTACAGTAATAAACCGCATAAGATAGAAGAAATTAATTCTCCTGTAATATATAGCTATTAGTTTTATGTGTTAAAGTGAATATTATAATAAATAACTCTAAATTCTGAAAATTCATTTAAGAGTTTTTTGAAAACTTAAATAATAGCTATCGATAAATTCGCCATTTGCCACGAAGTGAAAACGGTTTTACAATGATAAAACGAAACGATAAAAAGATTTGTCAAAAACCTATGCGATTATATATAGATTTCGCAATAAATAGGGGGAAGCAGGAAGTATTTGAACGGAGACGATGAAAATTTATTCAAGAGTTTTTTGGAAACTTAAATAATAGCTATCGATAAATTCGCCATTTGCCACGATTGAAAACGGTTTTACAATGATAGAACGAAACGATAAAAAGATTTGTCAGAAAATCTATGCGATTATATATAGATTTCGCAATAAATAGGGGGAAGCAGGAAGTATTTGAACGGAGACGTGTTATTACGAGCTCGATAAAAGTGAGAGAACGATGCAAGGAGGCGAAGGAAGCGAGAAAGAGCTGTAGAAAGTTTTGCTCGTTTTTGCACGGTGAGATTCTCGCTGCCGATTGGTCTTCTCATTATGCGGCAATTAAACAACATGGCGCCCGCAGAGGCTCGTTCAATTCGTTCGCTTAGCGCGGCGCTAGTCATCGGATACGGTACGTATACTGGAAGGCCGGCGTTGAAATCTCCTGCTACACCTAAAAAAAATATTTCTAGCCACGCATAATAATAAGATCTAAGAATATCTTATTTATTATGTAAAATTTATTATATAAAATATCATGATTTATATTAATTTACGACTGTTCATTAGACATAGGCAATTTGTACAACTATATTTTTTACATACCTATACATTTTTTATGTTAAAATTTAGGATAATAAATTAAATTATTTCTAAAATAATCTGTAACAGTTCTCATATATAAGAACTGATCTATAAAAACTTAATGAGAAAAATAACATTTGTCAATTTTCAATGCATTATTCAATTCGCAAAAAATATAATTTAACATTTTTATTATACAAAGTTTGTAATGTCACTAGAATTTAAAATTATAAATTATTAATTTGTAGCGTATTCCTGGAATGTTGGATTGCTGAAAGTTGACGTGGCTTGTTTGTATAGAGGATTCTCGCCCTGAAACATTTCAACATATTGACGTTCCGGCAATCTTGTAGTCACGCGATCGGGAATAACGAGGAATAGCGACTCACTCTGTCCCATTTGGCGAGAGCGCGCTCCTTCTCGAACTTTGCATATTCCCTCTTGTCATGAATAATCGTGAGGATCTTCCAAATGAGGAGAATCAGGAAACCGATGATGACGGTGCTTATAACAACGCCTAGCGCAACACCTACGGGAGAAAGTAAATTCTAGTTCATTTGGTATTGTCTTGCATACGTAAAAGTACAACCAAAGATATTACATTAGTTTCCAAAGATCATTGAATAAATAATAATTAGAATTACAAAAAGACAGAGAGAGAGACGCAATAAGTAAACAGAATTTTAAAACGTAAAGTAATAACATAAAAACGCTACATACTGGCATCGACTTTTGAAAAATATGTGCAGATGTGTGTGATTAATCTCATTAATTAATTAATTAAGCAACCGTTTAATGTCACTTATTAGTCCTGTTCAAATATAATTAAAGAGAATATAATAAAAAAAATAATTAAAGAGAAATATATTATATAATGACATGTGTAAGTTCTATATTTCGTGATAGGTGCCACGAGATATATAATTTATGTAACGATATAACAAAAATGATTACCAAAAACGTTAATTGGTGTTGGACAAGCTCTCTCTTGCTCAGCTTGAATCTTAAAGATTTTGATATCTCCTCCAGTACCGGCTCTGTGGTATTGGTATTTAAAGACAAACGTGCAGCCTGCGTCACCGGGTGTTCGACATATGCGGGCATCGGCTTCCTCATCTTTCGTAGGATCTTCCTCGACAGTATCGACCTGTGAAGTAATTAAGCGTTTATTTGCATCGCATCGCAAATTATTAATCACCCTCGCGCAGCTTGCAAAGCACAAACTAATCTACAATGTGTTCTTTACTTCTTGTTCCTTTTGTCTTTTTTCCTCTTTGCAACTACAACTGTATTTTATCGACAATCTTGTTACACGTTTTATCTTTCTTGTCTTTTCTAAAGTTTGTTAACTTTTATCTTAGGCGACAAAAAAAAAAAAAGAAAAACAGAATAAGAAGTAAAAATAGTTAAAAGCAAAAAGCAAGGAAGCAAAGAGTATATTTTGTAGATTAGCCTTAAATGTTATCTTAAAGGAAGTGCTACTAACGATGTCTATTTCGTGCATGCACAAATCGCATTTCCCGTTTTTCGCGAGCGGTCCTGTGTTGTACGCTACGCACTCCACGCAATCCTTCAGTTCCTCACAACGTTGTCCTGGACACGTCTATGTGTTATAAATAAATAACTGTTTTATAAGAGTATAAGATATTTTACTACTAAAAATTCACAGAAATCGTCTGTATATGAGTAATTGATTAATACAAGGTGTCCCAAATCTACTTCACTATCTGCTAATGACAGATTCCTAAAGTCATTTTGAAACAAAAATTTTAATATCAAAATGTCAAGGCTATAAGCATTTGAAATTAGCCAATCATATCGTCTAAAGTCGCGCGTTTAGGTGTGATTAGCATTTTATTCCACAGTAAATACAAAATGCCATCTAAACGCACGAAACAAATTTAAGCAATATGATTCACTATAATTTTTAATTATAATTAAAAAATTCCTTAACGTTTTGGTATTAGAATTTTCGTCTCAAGATTTTAAAAACATCTGTTCATTTTGAACACCTTTTATATTTTTTCATACTTTGCCTATTGGTAAACAATCGTTCATCAATTTTTTTCGACGGTATCCAAACAAAACAACAAATCACGTTAAATGTAACGTCCAATAATAATGTGAAATGAATTATGATTGATTGAAAAGTGACTTAATAATCATTTTGGAGTCATTTTGATGTCATGACATTTCATTCGTCTTGGATATTTCATTACACGCAGACACTCACAGGACACTCTTCACAGTATTGTCCGGAATATCGAATATTGTCCCGCTCGTGGCAATGACAGCTGCCGCAGATGCAGTTGCCACGTCCGCTGCAAATCTCGACGTTTTCGCCCGACGGCGGGATGCATGTGCTGTTAGTCTCCTTGCAGTCGCACGTCTCGCCACCCCATCCCGGCAAGCAATTGCAGGTACCGCATTCGCACTTGCCCCGTCCGCCACAGACCTTAAACAGACAAAGAAGAGACGAGCGGTGAACGTAATGGGGTATGTACAAAGGCGTGTAATTTGTCCAACCGCCCTTATAAACGCCGCTGCCGCGATCGCTGCAAGGCAAGATTGCCGTATAACTTCCGAGCGAATTTGTTAAAAGCAACTATCAAGCGAGAACACGGTAGTTACGCGCGATAATAGAGATTTCCTATCCTTGGCTACCCTGTTTCGAGCGTGTAATCTTTATCTTTTATATCAGCGCTAAATACTTATACGATATATTTTAGTTGAAAATACATATATTGAATATATTGAACTATTTTTTAATAGTATAGTTACAAGTATATAACTTTTAACTGTAACGCATAATAATGAAACTATTAGACTATACAAGAGAATTCTGTATACAATATCTGTGTTAAATATTTTTTTATCAAGAAAGTATTAAAATACTTTTTGCGCGAAGAGTATTAGGATTTCATTATCGACTGCATTTACTTAGAATATTTTACACATTTTGCGATAAACCTATCGTTAATTGTAATAAATTGTTTTTAATTTTGGAACATACCTGACCGCCACTGCGTTTGCAAGAGAAATTGTCGCATTCGCAATATTTTCCGTAAAACAATTCTTGCGGATTTGATCGTTTATCACAGTCGCAAACACCACATTTGCACGTACCATGGCCACTGCAAATTTCAGTGGTTAGATTGTCGGGTTTGCAGTCGGTCATCGAGTTTGATTGGTCAGCACCGATATCACTTCCCTCGCATTCGCATTGCTTCCCATAAAAACCGGAATTGCATGAACATACACCACACACGGATGTGCCTTTACCCTTGCATTCTATTGCGTTCGGTTGATATCCCTGTATCATAAATGGTAGTTTAAAATTCAAATGAAAAGTATTGTTAAGCAACAAATATTATGCAAATCTGATTGCTCATATGAAAATATACATAATTTTTTAAATAGTTTTTGGTATAGTTTTAAACATTATACACGATGGATGGAGTGTACAAAGATGAATCGAATCAAAAGACAACTGTTGTTAACTGTAATTTTATATTTTGAACAAGATATTTTTTTCTGCACGTTTTCTCTGCACTCTGGAATAATAGTGTGCGTTCAGAATTTTCTCATCCAATATATAGAGCATTGTTTATCTTTGTTATACGTTTAATGCACAAATTTTAAACGTCTCTATAGACAAAAATTATGTATCTCTCAAAGTTTATATTACTCCAATTTGTCATGTAATCCAATTCTCCTCGATCTAAGAATTTGAGCTAAAGATAGATTATTATAAAGATTATTATAAAGATAGATAATTAAAAGATAGAGAACAGATCAATAGAAAAGAAATAAGGACTCGTCATATAAAAATAAACAATAAGAAGACAAGGGCGATATATAAGAGTCAAAAAATTTTCCTTCAACTATAAAACATATAATGTGGCGTCGAGTGGCTCATCGCTCGGTGCGATTGACTCGCGATCTGTAGTAGACCCGAGTTTAATCCCACGTGCGCCCAAACGCAATTTTTCGCGTTTAATGAGCCAAAAAATGGCTCCACCTAGTGATCAAAAGATCTATGATCATCAGCGCCGTTCGGATTCGGCGTTAAACTGTAGGTCCTATACATCAGTATACATTTCAGTAGATATTTGTCTCTAATATCTGACTGAGGTAGGATTCTGTGGATCAATCAATCACCCACAAATCCGAAAAACAATCTGATTCGAGAAATGAATATAGGCCTCGGATAAAAGAGGAAGAGGCCTATAGACGTCCTATGCTCCACATAAGGAGATAAAAGGAGTCATAGTAGTATAAAACATATAATTAGTAACTACTTTCGATAATTAATTTAATGAACATTACTTAACGCTAATTCGCCTTCAAACAAATAACTATGATAATTAATAAATATAAATAAGTTACAAGTTTCGACTCTCGGATTGAGCCCTCCTCAGACTTGTCTAGATTTCTGACTTGTCTAGATTTCAATTATTATACTATTCTAATGATCAATTTCTTTATCTCTAGATAATCTTTATCTAGAAGATATCTGCCAGAATCCAACGGAAATATTTCCTTATCCTAATGGAAAAGTTATCTGTAACTTATCTGGAAATGAGAATTGGGCATAAGCTAGGTTTTATGCTTTAACGTATTTACCGGATGTCCAGGTTTCTCGCAAGGACAATCGCATATAATTTCGAACTCGATAGTCAAACTCTCGTTCAAGCCTCTAGGTTTAATCTCCATAGTTTGATACCAATCCTTTGGATCTTTAGGACATTCCACAACCTTGATATCAATTATATCATAATGAGCCATAATAAATTATATTATTAATTAATAAAAGTATTTATAATTGTTTCGCACTTTAAGCACAATCTCAAACTCAATTATGTTGCCTACGCGAAGTCCTTCGCATTCCTGACGTTCCAACAACTCTCCCGTTTTGTTCAAACATCGGGAGAAATATTTAACATCGATCATTTTCGGCGCTGTATCGATTATCGTCACCGAGTCCACTAGTTTCTGCAAAATTATCAACATTATAAATTATTATATCAACCTTTTACTCACTATATATAGATAATAGATAAAATAAATAATATTTTGAAATAGCTAAAATTATTCATTAATTTTCTATTAACTTATTACGATTATGACAAAACTAAAATGTAAAATGTAGGAAAATAATTTATATAAATTTGATAATTGAATATATTAATATCATATGTATTATTATTTATAATAAATATAATCACTTCATATTCACTGCTCACTAAGCCGACGACATTCTGCGAGTCATTTTCTAGAGTTCCGGTTGAGGATCCGCTAATACTACGACTTAATCGTTGATAAGTTGCATTTTTGTGATCAGGAACAGCGAAGATAATATTCATATTATGCTCGCGCGCTTTTCTATTGAGCTAAACAAATAAAGGATTTTATTAAAGATTTCCTTAAACGATTAAATTCATAATAATTTATATAAATGAATAATAATCCTCTAAGAAAGAAAGTAAATGAATACTCTATTGTTCTTACCTGAGAAATTGACGGATAATCTTGTAGAAGAGAATAAGTATAAAATCCATTTTCATCCAAGTGACATTTGCAATCGTTGGGTTCTATTATTCCTGCAAGCTAAGAAATCGTTAAGCTTTTTTATCACGAAATTTATACAACTCAGGTTACTCGGCTATCTCAGAATTGCATGACCTTTTACTTGATTTACGTACTTTACCGTCCCCAGCGATATGAAAGATTGCGTCGGTCGAGAACACAATAAGATGACGTGCTTTTTGACGCCAGCCGATTTCCTTGGTGCATACTATGACCTGCATCATCGCGTCGAGCCCGCCTTCGGGACCGTCTAGATTACCCGATACTGGCGCCGCTTGTACCTGATCCTATTTGTTAAGATTACTTGTATTCGACAAATTATTTAAAAATAACTATTATAAAATTGTCAAGAATAAGGCACCAAAATAAAATTCAGCAGAAATATAATTAGATGCATAGATTGTATCCTATCTTTTGATAGAAATCGGAACTTGTTTGTTAATTTTATTGTCCTAAACGAATTAATAGAATCTTCTTTTATTTGTCTTAGCACATGCCGAATATGCAACTATAATTACCTCAAATAGAGCTATATTCTCCGTAAGAGGCATTTGATTTTTATAATCGTAAGGTGGTGCACACGGTTTTCCAGTTTTCAAAATACAGGGAGATTCCAATCTAATGTAAAAATTCAATTAAAAATTATATATTTCTTACCAACAGAATTCGATTGAACAATTACGACATAACAATTTCAACGATTATTTAATTAGATTATATTCGATCTATTTAATAAATAGAAATATGTCTATTGTAATGGATAATATAACAATATATTTACGAATATATTTACTTATCGGGTTGCGTGCTAGTCATCGGTAAAACAACCTTATCTACAAAGCTGCCAAAGCCAATACGGAAATTTGATGTGAGCTTTTGCATGGCTTCGGCTAACTGCAAACCGAGTTTCGATAATTTATCTCTATATGGCTCCATGGAGGCCGATAGATCCATAAGGTAATATAAGTCCACAGGATAATCTTCCGCCTGACTGTATTTCATAGTTACGCGATACTCTTCTCCTATAATATATATTTAATTTCTTAATTTTTGAATTATAAGTTATTTAATTTATGCGTAATATTAGATAATTATATCAGAAATATATTACATGTATGAAAAAATATAGTATTTATAATTTGTAATTACCCCTAATTTGTATAATTAGGGAAGAGTTTGTGTTGACCAATCATAGTGTCTTTTTAAATATTCAAATATTGACATAATTGAATCTGAAGCTGGAGATAAAATTGAAGCTGGAGTTGGAGATAAAACTGGAGTTATAGCTGAAACCCTAAAAATTTTTGCTGCAACTTTAAATTCAGATTCAATTCTAGTTGTAGTCCCAACTTCGCTCCATCTCCAATTTTAACTCCAATTATATCGATATTTAAAAAACAAGAGTATATTCATTATTATGGTATTTGCCATACCTGTGCCAATTTTCCGTAAACTAATTGATCAACTTTAAACATTTTCCATTAAAAAACTATATACGTTTTTGTATAAGAATATTTTGTTTTTTGAAATTGTTCTATAGAATTTATCTATGCAAAAAAGGTAATTTTAGGATAATCTGAATATCTTACACAATTTTGTACATATATTTTTTAATAACAATAATTGCTTTATTGTATTTCTAAAAGAACTTTGTCTCAATAATGTAAATTATGAATTAACGCTCATTTTTGTTTAACATTTATATGTTAACATATATGTATGTTATTTCGAAATATAGAAAATTAAAATGTTTAATCTTGTGTGGTAAAATCTCTCTCTCACCTGACCTGAGATGTAAACGTATCTTCTGAGGTTGAACTTGGACGGGATCTTTACCCTTAATTGAGGATAACTGTTGATTTTCCAGAATATCCATCGTATTCTCGTGATCGATCACAGCTGATGGTTGACACCAAAAATTGCCTTCTTTCAAATATGTTTGTTTGGATACACAACGCAATAAAGGAGTACTTACATTTCGTGTAGATGCCTTATAAAACCGTGAACAAAAAATAATTTATCGAAATTAGTATATATTACAACTTATAACAAAAAGTTATTAAAATTAATAACACTTTTAAATTAAAAAAAAATTCTATGCACTTAATCGAACAATGCGAGATATTTAATAAAAAAAAGTTCAAACTTTATCAACGTTTATCATTGATTCTTATTCAAGTATCCCAGTAAATTAGCTAATGTTGATAAATCGTCATTTTAATATAATGTCTAAGCGCACATGTATTAATTGTATATTTTTTAGACATAGAATAATAAAAAGAGAGGATATGATGTAATATATAAACTGTCAAAATGACAAATAATGTCAGTTTGCTATCTGGATTTTATTCGCATGACGCATGAAAAAACTGTACTTCTATCTATGACATTTATCGAGTGATTACTCGAGTGATTATACATTACGGAAAATAGATTTCCGATATATGTAATTAGAAAGTCGTTCACAAGAAAATAAATACAGAATCTCGGAACATATTTCGATTTTTCTAAATAAAAATTATTTTTAAGTACACAAAATAAAATTACTAAAATTATCTTCGGCTTATAATTAATTTGCGTACTTTTCTGAAATATTTTTTACGTTTTAAAAATAATTCTTTTTTAGGCAAGTGGCAAATATATTACTTTTACATTACATTAATACAATTACAAAACTATTACAAATTCAATAATTGATATATTTACAACTTTAATTATTATGTATTTATATATTTTAATTATATCTTATATTATATTATTTTTAAAATCTATTTTATTTTACATCAAGATATTTTATATCAATTCAGTCATATGTGTGAAAAGAACAAATTTTAATCTATTTTTATTAGATTTAATATCTATTTAATTATTACTTTTATACCTAATATTTATTTTATAATAAAATTTATAACATCCGAATCATAATATTTAAATTAAATAATGAAAGATCAAATTTTTTTCTTCTAACTTAATAAGCAGTAGTATTTTATGAAAATGTAAAGCTCCCAAAAGCAGGTTCCCTCCAAGTTTTTTCTCACGAAAAGAAAAATACATCGAGTCTGTGTATATTCCATTTAACTTAGGCGCGAGCGATTATTTTCTCTTCCGGATCCTATACGATTGGATATCGGAGAACTGATAGAAGCGACGAAAGGAACGTTTTCGTATTAAGCACGCGCGAGTCATGCAAAACATCCGTGCAGTGCAATTGCATGAGTTCACTCGGCGTATGAATCACGCGGCGGCGAAACGCGAAACGTCGTTGCGGCGAACGGGCCAGTCATAATAAGGGTGTAGTCGCGATGCAGGTGCGCGCTTCTTCCGACGCCTTCTCCCGCAGATCCTCTCTCTTTCTCCCGCCGTGTGTCATCTCTAGCGGAGTAGACTGCTCGTTAACGACGCTTATAAATATTCATTACCGTCATGGAGCACCAGACGCATCGCGGCGTTTGCAGGCAGCTCGCGCAGGTCTGCCGGGACTCGCAGAGACTCTCTCGATCGCGATACTGCGAGACCGCGGCCACGAAGAGGTGGGCCGTCACGAGAACAAGATAGACGATGATCGTTGTCCGCCGTGCCATCGTTCCCTTCTAACGTCGAACGTTTTACTTTTAACACGAACGGGCGAGGCAGGTCGCCGCGCCGGCATCAACACTCGCGATCCGAAAGGATACTGCGGCATCCCGCGGAAATGACTCCAAGATAAAATGCGTCATAGTAATACGCGTGATTAAGTAATCGCGGCGTTTGTTCTCTTCGGCAATTCTCTTTTTTTCTGGAATCGGTGATTGGGTTCCTCGAGGTAATAGGCGAGTTCGTTGGGTGCGGCATGGAACGATGACGAATTTAATTTAATTGTTATTTTCATTGAGAACTTCACGCTCAGTTTAAACATCAGCATCTTATTGTAACAAAAATAGATGAATGATGTATAATCAAGTTTAATAATAGCATGCTCGTAATGATCAGTTTGAAAGAACTATATGAAGAAAAAACTTGCATGTACACGGAAAAAATGATGTATTATCCTCTAATTAAAATCATTTTGTTAATTTAATAGCACTATTAATGAAACAAACCATTTCATTTCATAATTTATTATTAAATTAAAAATATTGGTTTTAATTAGAATGCCGTTAGCTATATATAATGTACATTTTTTCCCCTATATAGAGTATTACCGCTGAACTCTAATAATGCTCGCTTTTATAATAATATTTACAAATAATTTGCAGTAAGATGACACATGATGAAGTATGGAGTACAACAAACTAGCTGCGTGAAATCGATTATACTAGTATATAACGAGAACTGTTGAAATATGAAACAGAAAATCGCAACAAATATTTGTACGAACTTTCTTCATTATTCTTGTCCTTTCAATTTATCCCTGATAAAATTACGTCATTATGTATTAAAACATCTTAATTGTATCTAATAAATATAAAGAAACATTTTAGGAAACCTTAAATGCACATAATAAATAAATTATAATGCATTTCTTTTATCTATAACATATAAAGTATAGAGAGTGAGGGAGGAGGAGAAACATAAAATAATTTGCATCATACATGATCTTACGTCATACATTGATTAATATTTTAAAATGGTTACTTTCACGCCATCTACCCTTTTTCAATGAATCATCCGCGTAAAAGTTTGAAAATTTTCCAATAGATGGCGTACAAGAAGAGAAACAAAATTTGACATTTGTCGATAATCTGCAATAAAATTCATAAAATTTTTGTAGCTACGTTACTTAATGAAATAAATATTTAATCCAATGTCGAAGAAAAAAATGAATAGTACAAAAAGTCCACACACAAAAGGAATACACATAAAACATTATTTCATTCCTTTTCTTTTTCGAACTTTTCGTGTCACACATTTCATATATTTAACAAAATATAAATTGAGTTCTTCTACCGATTATATATTACGTAAAATAAACTATAATTTTATCAGTTCTCGCGTTTCGTTTATGTAATCTTTCTTTACAAAATTTTGTAAAATCTTCAAAATAAATTTCCTGATGTTAAATACGTTTATTCTTCATGTGTCAACTTTCGCTGGAATGTGAGAATGTAAATTTGTTTGCTCGGTATATAACAAGGTATGTTACTGCTGTTACACACACAGCTGTCTATTACATTTTTGGAATTCCCGCTCCTGGAATAAAGTTCTCGAACCTGTCGAGCGACCCCACTTCCATGAACAAGAACTATCGTCGTCAAGTGTCTTGATTGCGTATGCTCTAGAAAGAGACGGTAATTCGTTATTTGTACGTAGTACGTGACGGAGAGTGTACGTTCTTGATTAGATCCTCGACCTCCGACAAGTTTGACAGATGACCGACTGTCGACGTCTGACAAGTTTAACAAAGTGAGGCCTGAGGAAAGCAAGTCGACATGGAGGCAGTGCCGAGATTGCCGATGGTATGGTTTCTACTAAAAGTCAGTCCAGAGCCGACTACTTTTGGCCCGAAGCTCAAACAGGTACGATTCTCGCGAGTTTTGTCTCTTCTTTCCTTTTATCTAATTAGTCAGTTTTCGTTATACGTTTCACTGTGTTACAAATCCGTTGTGTTGCGTGGAATGTCGAAGTGATAGATGATGATAGAAGAACAACTTGTCATTACAATCATCTCTTGAACGTTTTTGTGACTTTGCTTTCCTTGCATATTATTTTCCTTTTTTCTTTTAGTACATACAAGATTTTTATAATGAGGAGCCTGAATCGTACAACAGTGAAATACAGCAGTTGGAAAATTTACGCTCGATGGCAGTTAGAGCACCAATTGACATGGCTGGATGTACGCTGTTAAAGAAATACTATTGCCAGTTGCATTTTCTTCAAAGCAGATTTCCTATGTACAAAGACGGTCCTGCTGCAGTTACATTTACATGGTATAAAATCCTATATCTTCTATTATACTTAAAAAATATTAATTATCTAACATTTATCTAATTGTATATCAATTGGTAACCATGAATTTTTTCCGTTAAATTGCACGATATTTCCTTTTATAAAGACGTTTATGTTTAGTTTAATTTTTTAGAAGAGATTTTGTTTTTTAGTTAATTTCTACACATGAATTGATAACCATAGATAACCATGGATTTCTGTTAAATCACATGATATTTTTTTAGGAAAGATGCTTACACAAACTTGGTGTGTTCATTGAGCAGCATTCGTTTTGAGATTATGTCGATTTTATACAATATTGGAGCAATGCATACTCAATTAGGTGGACAGATTGAACGAAATAGTGCAGATGGAATGAAAATGGCATGTACTCATTTCCAATGTGCAGCATGGGCGTTTGAACATCTGAAAAATAGTTTTCCTCAACCGTTTGATCTTTCATTAGAATTAATGACATTTATGCATCAACTTTCCTTGGCACAAGCTCAAGAGTGTATATTGGAAAAGAGCATGTTGGATAATCGCAAGCCAACAATTGTAGGTATGTCTCATCATCTGTCAGTTTTATAAATCGATTGTTATAGTAACTGTGTTTAGCTTTGTCTGTTATTGTATAAGATTTATATATTATGCAGCAAAAGTTGCAAAGCAAATAGTAGATTACTTTACTATGGCCCTGACCACTTTGAAGCAAAGTGGTGGTGAAATTGGAACTATATCTGATGGTGTGGGTAGTAAATTTTATAAGGTGAGATAAATTATAATTTATACTTAAATTACTATATGTTTTTAAGAATTGAAATACTGTTTTTTAAAATGAAGTTAAGTATTATAATTAATCTCTAAATTTGTTCAGATTTGGAAACGCTATGCTAAATTTAAAAAGGCTTATCATATGGCTGTTACATATCTTTATCAAGGCCTTGCTGCGGAAGAACAAAGAAAAATGGGAGAACGAGTAGCTTTTTATAATGCTGCCTTAGCATCTCTTAATGAGGCACATATGATTTTTGATTCTACAAATCATAAAGAGGAAAAAGCCGCAGTGGAAGAATCACTCACATTTACTAATGATGTAATCGAAGGTAAAAGAAAAGCCGCTAAAAATGAGAATGATTTTATTTACCACGAAGAAGTGCCTGAAAAAGAAAGCCTTCCTACAGTGAAAGGCGCGTCTTTAGTTAAAGGAATATCATTTAACATAAATGATCCAGAAGTATCAGGTCAAGATATATTTGCAAGGTAATTATATTTTATATTAATTTCTTTTTATCACATTTACAATAGTTTAATTCTTTATTAAAATACAATATAAAAATGACAAAATTATTTTTTTTCTATTATATTTTTCTTTTGTAAAATATTATATATTCCTTTATGAATTTAATATTTTTTTTTTTTCTTTTACATACAGATTTGTTCCTATGAAAGTACATGAAGCTAATTCTCTGTATTCGGAAGAAAAAGCCAAAATATTGCGTTTTATTGGAGCAAAGGTTGATGAAAAAGATCAATATCTTAATACTTATCTTACTTCATTAAAGCTAGAACATATGAATTTCTGGGATCCTGATACACAAGCTTCGGAATGGGAATGCTTACCTCTCCCAGAAGAATTACTCGAACGATGTGCTGCGCTTAATGCAAAACAACATATTATTCAAGATTTAGTAGATATTATGGGGAAATTATCTGAAACAAGCCAAGATGTAGAAAAAGTATTAAATGAAATATCAAAATTTTTATTGGAAGAGGAACAAAAGTATGAATTAATCATCTTTTGCTCTCGTTAAAAGTTTTAAGCCTCTGACGTTATTGGCTGCGTTTAGCAAAAAAAGCAGTTTTGCATCTGTGTTGCAAAATTCTTTAATATGATTAGTCTTGCTTTTTGTTTCACTAGATCTATATAAATGTATAAAACAATCATATTAAAAAAAATCTTACAATTGTAAAACTGCTTTTCCTGCTAAATGCAACTAATGACTGTTTAATTATAGTTAAAAAATAAATGTTATTTTTTTTAGGGAAAAGCAATATCAAGATGCAGTAGGCAAAAGGCCACCATCGATAGTGGCAACAGATTTAACTAGAGAAGCTAAGAAATATGAGGAAGCACACAACAAGGCCTCTGAGAGTAATCAAGCGCTTCATAAAGCCGTAACAATGCATGTAAAGAATTTAAAAATTCTCGCGCAGCCATTAGCTGATTTAATGGCCCAAATTCCTTCACCAAATGTTTGCCTTGCAGGTAATGTTCTTACAAATTTCCTGTGGAATAACATTTATACAGGGAATGGAAGTAACTCGTTACTTGTAACGAAGTTACAGTTACAAGTTACTTTTTTGGTAACTTTACTGGTAACTGCGTTACTTTCTTTTTTTGGTAACTGTAACGGTAACGAGTTACATTTTTTGGGTAAC